TTATTTTTTCCTATTTTTTCTTTTTCTTTTTTTTTTGAAAAGGAAAATTTGACAAACCTGTTCTTTTACTTCACTTACAGCACCTTTTTCACGCCAATCGACATTTTCTGGTAAAGGTTCGTCAATTTTCATGTAAGCAACATTTTCGAAATCACTTAATTTTATTTTTTGTGAATGAAAGCCACGAAGTTTGTTAAATTCTTCGGGGAGCTTAAATTTTTTAAAATTACCTCTACTTTGTTTAAAAATAAAAAGCAAAGGAAATGGTAAAGGAAATTGATAATTTAAAAAGTACACGTATTTCAATTAAAAATTATTCCATTTTTAAATAAAATATGCAATTAGATTTTGATATTATCACTATACATACTGTTTGTGATAATTTTTTAATGACATCAATATTATATTTTTGTTGCAAAAGAACAAAACGAAAAAATTGTAATAAGAAATGAGTAATTAATATATGGTAATTAATTTACCATATCAGTTAAATGATTGATAGCTAATTCGTATGTTTCTTCATCACGTTCATAGCGTTTATTGTGCCGTTGTATTTCTTTCACATTTTTAAGATATGTCATAAATCGTCGATATTCCAAATTTATTCCTTCATCATGCTTATCTTTAATAAATTATTCCATTATTTGCAAGGGTTGGAATTAATTAATTGTTGAAAATACTTTAACTTTTAAAAGGATACATTTTATGATTTTGAAAATTATTTTTTTTTGAAAACTTGCTATATTTTTGCTTATAAAATCTGTATCCAGCATATTGTTGCATAAGACGCTTGTTATTCAATTTTTTTTCCATCAATTTAATATATCTAAAATGAAAAATTATTATTGCAATTATAATTTGTCATTTAATTTTGTAAGTTATTTCCATTTCTATTTTTATACAAGAAAAATGCAATGAAAAAGTTTTCCTTTTATTCAAATTCAAACAATAATTGGTGTTATATTTATTACCATGCTTAGAAATGTTAACTTCATCAGAAAATAATTTTAAATGAAATATATTTAATAAATGAACGCTTGAAAGATTTGAAATATTGTTTTGTTTTGTTTAAAAAAATAGTATAACTATAACTGTACCTACTTTGCATCATTTTTTCCTGATAAAGCATAAATGATTGCAAAAAATAATGATAAAATAAGGAGAAAGCGAAGAAGGATGAAATGATTATTCATTGATAATTTCGATAATGGCTTTCGTAATATTTCATTGCCTTTTTAAAAGGAAAAAATTACTGATAACAAAAAAAAAAAAAACACATTCTAACTTCTTATCATTTTAACACTCTGTTATTTTATATATGATAATCATTTGAAGTGACTGAACTCATTCCTCTTCTATGACAAATTCATTTTGTAATGGCTTAAATGTTTGATATTTAATGCTTATTATAATTTTTACTTATAAGCTTCTTATCATTCTAACACTTCATTCTAACACATTCTAACACTAACACTTCTTATCATTTTAACACTTGGCAAATATTGTCGCATTAAGAGACGTTTTTGCCTTCTTCCGCTTTTCGTCCCCCATTTCTTTTAATCTTCTTAATCATCGTTTTAAAATGATTTTTGTGGCAAATTGAAATGGAAATCTTTCTCACATGCTTCTTTATATTATTATACCGTATAGAAGAATATCATGAAATTATCATAATTAAGTTATCATATCAATTCTTTGTTTTTTTTCTTTTTTCTTTTTTTTTTGCTAATATCACCTTGCATTTATACTGACGTAGACATGTTTATATTTGTCATTTATGTCATTTTTCTTCATTTCATTTACTAATTTCTGCCATCTTTTTACCGTTATGGTCAAATATAACTATCGTTTTATGTAATTTTTTCCATGAATTATCATTATTTTCATGAATTTATATTATTTATATTGCACAAATTTCCCTCACATCATATTTATAATGTTTATCTTTGGTTAATAAAGTAAAAAAGTTACTTTTGTTTTTGAAAAAAATTTAAAAAACGTTGAAATATTTTTTAGCACTCAATTTAAAATATGCAGATATTTTAAAACTGCAATGCAATGCTTAAAAAAAAAACTACAATGTAGAGGAGGAGATAGAGAGAAAGGGGAAAAAAAGATAAAAATAAAAGAAAAAAAACATCTTTAAAATAAATTAATTAATCTAAAGAAATATCAATTATAGTAAGCATACGAAGTTATGGGAAAAAGAGTAATATATATTGATAAGTTAAAAATATTGCATAGAATATTACATAATATTATATAAGTTTTATTTTTACCAAATTAATTTATATATAAATACTATATATTATTATAAATTTAAAATATCATATTCATACTTGAATATACTCTAAAAAGGAATTGATAGTGCTTGCAATGTGCATGAATAAACAGTGCTTGCAAAATGTATGAATAAATAAGTTGTTATAACTACTGAGTTACACGAAAAAATCAGCAATAGGAACAGTAATAATAGTCAGCAGTAAATGAAACATTATAAATATTCAAATAATTAAGATACATATGCTGCCAATGGTAACTTGCATATTAACAATAAATATAGCATGAATGGTTCAAATCATCCAAAACTAAACTTTTTAGCAAAAATTATTAAAATTAGCAACGATAGAAAGCAACACTACAAAAAAAAAAAAAAAATACAGATAAACAGGACAAATGAATGACAACAACAATAACCATAAACAGATGGATATGTAAACTGTAAGTAATTCAATTAACATTAACTAATTAATTTATTTGTCTTTTTGTCTATTTTTTTAACGTTTTTCATTTTGAACACATTTGAAGATATTAGGTATAGTAGAAAATCAATAAATAGAAAATTACAAATTCAGAATTAGCATGGCCGGAACGGAAATACCTACGGAAAACAGGTTAAGAAGTTTAAAAAATAGTATAGTATATTGGCTTTAGCCAAGTATTAACTAATTAATTTATTAATTAGCCAAGTATATTGACTTTATGGTCTCTGCATTAGTTCGCTTATAGTGGATTTTCGACGAAACAAAATTGAAAACGCCAAAGTGTTAATCAATCCTTGTATATGCCCGAAGCATTTGCATATTACCGTAATTTAATTTGCTGGCACATTGTTGAAAGAATTATAACGGATAGAAATGAATAGTTTCTCATAATTCCAATGCTTTTTAGAACTGCAACATCAATAACACTTTATGCGAAAAAATGCTTTTCTATCAGCTCTTCTTTTCTTAGTTATTTGCCTAATGTCTTAATGACATGAATGAGGTAGTCTGGATATATTAATTTCTTTTTTCTTGATATATTCAAAATCGTCCTGATATAATTTTTTTTGCTTCCTTTTTAAGGTTTTCAATTTTCATTCCAGAGATTTGGATCATTTTAGAATTGTTAATTATCTTTCCCGTTTTCTTTCTAAATTTTAGTTAAGAAATGTATTTATTCATTTCTGACTAAACAGTTAACATAGCATTTTTTAAGATTCTCAGAATTTTAAAAACTAAGAAGAGCAGTGAAAGAAGAACACTGAAAACGACTATGAAAGTCATGGTCGACTATATCATCCATATTAGTATTAATGTCTCCACAAGTCATATCAAAGATTATCAAAGATTAAAAAGAAAATTAAAACCATAAAATCACTATTTCTCATTGGGATAGCTTTACTCGGAATGAAAACTGACCTCAAGGAAAGTGTCACAGGAACAATATCTATTAAATACAGTGAAGATACAAGCAAGCAAGCTGTGCCCAGAATACCTGCCTAATGTCTTAATGACATACAAATTAATGAGGTAGTCCTGACATATTAGATTCTTATTTCTTGATATATTCACTAAACAGCTAACAAAGCATTTTTTATGATTCTCAGAATTCTAAAAACCAAACATCAGAAGAACACTGAAAACGACTGTGAATAGCAACCTGTTGTTATGCATATTAGTATTAACGTATTTCTCCAAATCATGTCAAAGATTAACTTTGATTATATTAAATTTTTTTTCGACTTCTCAAATTTAAAAAATTTTTTCTCTCACAAGACCATAAAAAGATTTTGACGCTGTGATTTTTTTCTCTGTCTCCACAGATCTGTCACCGACTTGAAATGTTCATTCAGTGCAAGTCAACCATTCGGCAACTCATTGGAATGAAATTGTAATTGGGATGGATTATCAACCGAATAAAATGTTACTTGCAAATGACATAATTTAAATGCCTATTGTCTCCAATGGGACTTTCCATGTGAGTTGACAAACGAAACAGATGGTCACCTTATGAAATGACAGTGTTGTGATTAAGAAAAGCCTTTTCTTTGCCAAAAATTCACTTCTATATTGTTATACATCGTTTACAATTAATTGCAGTCAATTGCAAGTTTTTCATGCATGGAATGCAAGTTATTTGCTTGCCATATATGCATTAATAATGAAAAGGCTCCTTGGTAAGATGCAAGTAGACACGAAACGGGAAATTTCATTCACTAAGACAAGAGAAATAATAAAGAAATCTTAAAGGAACAATGCTAATATACATATGAAGCAATGAAATGTTAACAATACAATAAAGAAAAATAATTTAACTCATAGAAAATACAACAATACAAGGAATAGCAATGCGTATTTCTGTTTAAAATGTGTTTATCAGTTCATTCTGCACGCAATTCACCATGTGTTTTTTCCTATAATATTCCGTCACGAATGCTTTATCGCATGCAGTGCAGTTAAATCTGGGCCTATCACTGTCATGAGTCTGCATGTGACGTCTTATATCA